TCTCTCCCGGCCAGCCCCACTCCCCGCAACCCCCTCCCGGCCAGCTCTATTCTCCCGGTCGGTCCCCCCACCCACTCGATCTGAGATACAGTGTGTCCGGTATTTTTTAAGCCATCTGGTAACTCTAGGAGTGGCTGAGCCGCCCGGCCGGCAGGTGCTTGGGCAGGGCTGTGGGAACCCCCGTGGAGCCACCAGGGCTGCAGGGCAGGGGCCGCCAGCAGCTGCGTCCCCCCGGGCCTAACCGCCGCCGCGACCTTCTCTTCACAGCCCGGCTTCAGCTTCAGGAAGCTCTGGGCCTTCACAGGCCCCGGGTTCCTCATGAGCATCGCCTTCCTGGACCCCGGCAACATCGAGTCGGACCTGCAGTGCGGGGCCGTGGCCGGCTTCAAGGTGAGCGGAGGGCGGCCCTGCCCGGAGGGGGCCGTGCTTTGGGACGGGTCTGTACAGCGCCTTGCACTCGGGGGCCATGATCCCAGGCCTGGGGCTTCCAGGCTGTACCATAACCCCCAGCAAGCACTGATCGTTAAGGTAACGAGCTGGCACCCACAGCTGCCCCTCACCCCCCTATTGCCCCTCCCCTGCTCCCGCGGGGTCTGCTGGGTGGCCTGGCCTGGGTTCCCTGGGGTCTGGCTGTAACGTGCTCGGTTCAGAGTCCGGTCTGGGGTGGGAGGGAGACCTGCCCAGAGCTCCAGGTATCTCTTGCTGCCCCAGAGTCACTCAGCCTGCGGGAGTTTTACCGCTGACTCCCCTGGGGCCAGGATCGGGGCCAGCGTCCCTGGAAGCTGAGCACTTGGCCGCCCACCCAGGAGAGATTCAAATGCTGCCCGGCTGATCAGCAGAGCTGGCCGCATGTCTTTCTACGGGTGGTGCACATCCGCACATGCCTCAGCGCATTGAACAAAATTGATTCCGCACACAGGTGGCACGCATTGGGGGGAACCCTGCCCCGGCGGGTGTGTGTAGAGGAATCAACCGGCGGGTTGCTTCTGTATTTCCATGGGCTGGGCTGCTCCCGGACCCCTGCTGAGAGGGGCTGTGCCTGTCCCCCCCCTGCCCGC